CCCTTTTCCGGCCCCCATAAATGGGTCCAGGGGCGAGGGACTTGGGGAAGCCCCCGCCACCCCTACTCGATGGACCCGAGGCGGAGGCGCGCGCGGGTGTCGGTGCGCGCCTCTGAGGCGATACACGGGGTAGTTTAACACCTCACTACCCCGTGCAGGAGACGAGGCCTGGACGGACCGGGCCAGCACTAGTGTGGGGCTGCGGAAGAATTTGGATTCCCGCGGCCCCACGCGCACGTGTGAGGAGACACCGGGGTGGTTTTAGCCGGTAAGAGTCCGGCACGCCCCTCCGCCTTTCCCCAGGCGGAGGTAGTCCATGAGGATTTCCCCCCGTAAAAAAAAAAAAAAAAAAAAAAAAAAAAAGGTTAGGTTAGGTTAGGTTAGGTTCCCCCCCGAACGGGTTCCCGCCTTGTCGTGGCGGGGGGGCTTAGTAGCCGTGGCTTGGTCAACCGCGGTGAACAAAGAGGAACCCCTTGGCTGGCCCGAGGTGTAGGGCCGGCCCGAGGTGGCCACTCCGAGTGGGCTTGGGAAGCCCACTTCGGATGTGTGTTGGTGGGCTGCGGTGAGAGGGGAGTCCGCACCCTCTACCGCTGCAGCCGAGGTCGAGTCGCGGAGGAAGAGGAGTGTTGGTATGGCGATGCGCCACTCGCCCTATCCTCCGCGACTCAGACGGGGCCGCACCGTCAATTGATGCGGTGGTGGTGGGGCTGCGGGGGGAGAGGAGTGTCGGTATTGCGACGCGCCGCTCTCCCTACCCTCCGCAGCCGAATCTTGGTTGGCGGCGGAGCCCGAGACCAGATCCGCCGCTGGGGTCGGGAAGGCTGGTGCTTCTGAGTTCTAGTTTTTCCTGGCCCCATGGCCTCCGCGTATCGAACTCGGGGGTTCCGATACGCAGGTGGAGTTGGAGGCTGTGGAGGGGGGTAGCTGAACACCTCGCTACCCCGTGCAGGAGACGAGACCCAGACAGATCGGGCCAGCACTAGTGTGGGGCTGCGGAAGAATTTGGATTCCCGCGGCCCCGCACCCACGTGCGAGGAGGAACCGTGGGGTTTTAGCCGGTAGGAGTCCGGCATAACCTTCCGGTTGCCCCCGCGGCCGGAGGTATCCATGAGGATTTCCCCACGTAAAAAAAAAAAAAAAAAAAGGTTAGGTTAGGTTAGGTTAGGTTTATTGGGGACGTGACGGCGCTGGTCGGCGCGTCATGTCGTGCGGTGTTCCGCAGGGATCGGTCTTGGGACCGCTCCTGTGGAACATCGGCTACGACTGGGTGCTGAGAGGTGAACTCCCGTCGGGCGCCGACTTGACGTGTTATGCGGACGACACGCTCGTCACTGCCCGGGGGAGTTCGTACAGGGAAGCAGCGTTGGTTGCCACGGCTGCGGTGTCACAAGTGGTGAACCGCATCCGGCGCCTGGGCCTGGAGGTGGCCCTAAGTAAGTCGGAGGCCATGGTGTTCCATGGACCTCGACGCGCGCCGCCGCCGGGTTCACACATCGTGGTCAGCGGGGCCCGGATAGCTGTCGAGTCCACCATGAAGTATCTGGGATTGGTGCTCGACAGCCGATGGGAATTCGGACCCCACTTCCGGCGGCTGGCGCCCAAGCTGATGGGTGCAGCGGGCGCGCTATCAACGTTGCTTCCCAACTTGGGGGGCCCGAGCGCCGCCTGTAGGCGGTTGTACGTAGGAATCGTGCGGTCCATGGCCCTGTATGGGGCCCCTGTGTGGGCGATGGACATGACGGCCAGCACTCTCGCCATTCTGCGTAAACCGCAGAGGGCGATGGCCGTCAGAGTCGTCCGCGGGTATCGCACGATTTCCTACGAGGCGGCTTGCGTCCTGGCCGGATCCCCGCCCTGGGACCTAGAGGCGAAAATACTCGCGTCATTATATCGATGGCGCGAGGAAGAGCGGGCACGGGGCTCGAGGCCGGTGCAGCGGCAGATCGCGCTGCGCCGAGAGGAGCTCCGTCAGGTCTTGGTGGCGGAATGGCGGCAAAGGCTTCTGCGCCCTACCGCCGGCCTCGCTACCGTCGAGGCGATCCGGCCAGTACTCGACGACTGGCTCGGGAGAAGGCACGGCTCCCTGTCGTTTAGGGTGACGCAGGTGCTGTCGGGGCATGGCTGCTTCGGCAAGTACCTGCGCCGCATAGACAGGGAGCCGGACGCTCGGTGCCACCACTGCGTCCATTGCGGGGAGGACACGGCGCAACACACGCTCGCCGAGTGTGTAGCTTGGGAGGAGCAGCGCCGTGTCCTCACAAATAAAGTAGGAGGCGATCTGTCGCTGCCGGCCTTAGTGCGGAAGATGGTCGGTAGCGCAGAGTCGTGGGATGCGGTGGTGTCCTTCTGCGAGGACGTGATGTCGCAGAAGGAAACTGCGGAACGGGAAAGGGAGATCTCGACTCCCTTCCCTGGCCGCAGAAGGCGCACCGGGCGCAGGAGAAGGGCGGACAACGCCCTTTTCCGGCCCCCATAAATGGGTCCAGGGGCGAGGGTTTTGGCGAAGCCCCCGCCACCCCTACTCGATGGACCCGAGGCGGAGGCGCGCGCGGGTGTCGGCGCGCGCCCCTGAGGCGATACACGGGGTAGTTTAACACCTCACTACCCCGTGCAGGAGACGAGGCCCGGACGGACCGGGCCAGCACTAGTGTGGGGCTGCGGAAGAATTTGGATTCCCGCGGCCCCACGCGCACGTGTGAGGAGACACCGGGGTGGTTTTAGCCGGTAAGAGTCCGGCACGCCCCTCCGCCTTTCCCCAGGCGGAGGTAGTCCATGAGGATTTCCCCCCGTAAAAAAAAAAAAAAAAAAAGGTTAGGTTAGGTTAGGTTCCCCCCCGAACGGGTTCCCGCCTTGTCGTGGCGGGGGGGCTTAGTAGCCGTGGCTTGGTCAACCACGGTGAACAAAGAGGAACCCCTTGGCTGGCCCGAGGTGTAGGGCCGGCCCGAGGTGGCCACTCCGAGTGGGCTTGGGAAGCCCACTTCGGATGTGTGTTGGTGGGCTGCGCTGAGAGGGGAGTCCGCACCCTCTACCGCTGCAGCCGAGGTCGAGTCGCGGAGGAAGAGGAGTGTTGGTATGGCGATGCGCCACTCGCCCTATCCTCCGCGACTCAAACGGGGCCGCACCGTTGATGCGGTGGTGGTGGGGCCGCGGGGGGAGAGGAGTGTCGGTATTGCGAAGCGCCGCTCTCTCTACCCTCCGCGGCCGAAACTTGGTTGGCGGCGGAGCCCGAGACCAGATCCGCCGCTGGGGTCGGGAAAGCGGGCGCTATTAAGCGCTCGAATTTCCGGGCCCCATGGCCTCCGCGTATCGGACTCGGGGGGGTCCGATACGCAGGTGGAGTTGGAGGCTGTGGAGGGGGGTAGCTGAACACCTCGCTACCCCGTGCAGGAGACGAGGCCCGGACAGACCGGGCCAGCACTAGTGTGGGGCTGCGGAAGAATTTGGATTCCCGCGGCCCCGCGCGCACGTGCGAGGAGGCACCGTGGGGTTTTAGCCGGTAGGAGTCCGGCATAACCTTCCGGTTGCCCCCGCAGCCGGAGGTATCCATGAGGATTTCCCCATGTAAAAAAAAAAAAAAAAAAAAAAAAGTTAGGTTAGGTTAGGTTAGGTTTTTTTTTTTTTTTTTTATTCTAGTTCCCCTGACATGAGGAAATCAGGGACTTTATTCATCGTATGGTGTTTCTTTTTTCACCTTTTTATTTTGTTTTTTCTTTTATTTAGTATAGTTTATATTATATATACATTGTTTCTATTTACATTTACTTTTACTTACATTTATTTTGAGTTCTTAATACTAGTTGTTTTTGTGGGTCTGTTTACATTATATATTAATATATATGTTACAATACCCTTTTTTCTTATTTCTATTTATTCTTATTTACTACTTTTCTTGTTATATTTTTACAGTATTTTAGGAACTTATCTCTAGTGTACTTATTTCTTATTATTTCTTTTACATTTTCTTTGCTTATATTTATTCCTATCTCTACTTCTATATCATATCTTTCTTTGCCGTAGATGGGGCATTCGGTTATGACATGCATTACATCCTCCTTCTTTATCTGATCACAGGCACATGCGGGGCTCTCCTTGCACTTAAACCTGTGCAGATATTCGGAGAACCCCCCATGGCCTGTCATAACTTGAACAATTATTGGATCCATGTCCAATTTTCTTATTATCTTATATGCATCGATGGCATTGGGAAAGAACATTTTGGTCGTGGAGGCCGTTTCCGCTTCCATGTAGCGCCGATTCCATTCGTCAAGCGACTCCAATCGGATTTGTCGCTTGACGTATGAAACCGGACACTTGTCGTAATCTGGCTTTCTTTTAATCTTTGTGGCGGCTTCTTTAGCGAGCTGATCTGCTCTTTCGTTCCCCTCCAATCCTGCATGAGCTTTAATCCAAAATATGTTAATTATTTTATTTTGTTGACTAATATTTAAGATGTTATTCTTTACTTGCATTGCTAGGGGATGGAGGGAAACGTCTTGAACGATTGTTTCTAGAGCAGATCTCGAATCGCTGTACAAATTACAACTCTGCGCTGGTGTTTTAATTACATATTTGGTTGCTTCAAGGATAGCCAGCAGTTCTGCCTGGTAGACGGTGCAAAAATTTTCCAATTTAAATTTTTGGGTACTCGTCTCCGTGTCGCCATTCCAAATGGATAGCGCCGCGCCGACTTTCCCCTCAATTTTACTGCCATCTGTGAATATTTTAAGGCCCTTGTTGTCATATTGGTCAATCTGTGCACCGTCTTCCAGGCATATAAACTTCAATTCGATCTGTTCCGCGGGATGTGGGGTCTTTGAGTATTCTACTTTCATTTCTACCTCTCTGTCACCCACTACTCGTCGGGATAAACCTTTCTTTATTACATAAAGCAAGGCTGCTTCCCGGATCCTTAGATCCAAAGGAAGCAGCCCGGCGAGTAGTAGGGCTGAGTGTAATGATGCTGTCCTGTATGATTTTATAATTTTCTGCACAAAACCGCGCTACACCATATCGATTTGTTTTTTAACTTTTTGTTTGCTAACTGCTGTCACCCAAGCACTGGCCGCATACAAAAAGATCGGCTCCACCACTGCAGTGTATATAGTCCTGATGATCTCCGGGTTTAGGCCCCAATGAATCTTTGCTGCCCTCGTCAGCTGATGATACAGGTTCTGTACCTTACAACATACATTTTTTACATGTTTGTCGAAGGCAAGCCCGTCATCGACTGTGAGGCCGAGTATTTTTATTTCTCTTGAGAGGCCGATGCTCTTCCCGCCCATCTCCAGAAGTGGTGCGTCGTACTTAAGTTTGTTTGTTATTATCATCGCTTTGGTTTTATCTGGCGCAAACTTAAGCTTATTTCTCGCTCCCCACTTATGGACATGTGCAAGAGTCACATTTGCCTGCTCCTGAATCTGTTTTACCGTGTCCCCAGAGAAAATCAGGACTACATCATCCGCAAAAGCCTGACAATGTGTCTCCTTCGTACTCAATTCCTTCAATAGTGGGTCCAACAATATGTTCCAAAAAATCGGACCCCCTATTGAGCCCTGCACACACCCCTTTGTGGTATTTTTTACCCATTCTGCCCCCGCATATCTCAGGCACACTATTCTGTCCCTAAGATAACTATCTATCAGGCGTCTTAGGTTTACTGGGCATCCAGTCTTCGCAAGTCCACATCGTATCGCCGGCCACCAGGCATTATCGAAGGCTCCCTCTATGTCTAGTGATATCAGTAAGATGAGCTTTTTGTCTTTTAGCTTGGTTGTTATGAACTGCATCATATCATAGAGGGAGTCCTCGGTGCTACACTGCGGCATGAACCCATATTGTTTCCGGCTTATCTTTGGTACGATGTGCCACTTGATTCTTCGGACCACCATTTTTTCGAGGACCTTGCCCAGCACAGGCAATAGCCCAATCGGCCTGTAAGATCTGGGGTGAGTGTAGTCCCTTTTACCCGGTTTCCGTAACACTACCACTACCGCCTTCTTCCATTTATTGGGAAAGTATGTGAGTTCCATACATTTATTGACCAGTGCCAAGAACAGTCCTAAATCCACGGTTATAGCTACTCTACAGATGTCTGCTGTAAAGCCGTCGTCACCTGGCGCCTTTTTCGGATTAAAACTCGACACGGCCCACGTTAGTTCCTCCGCTGTAAAGGGTGGGTCACTTGAACTATCAAGTGTCCCCTCATTCACTGTATTAGCTACTTCTCTCATCAACTCGTGTTCCGTGTCGTCCTCCTCGTTTTGATCCTCTGGATAAAAAGTCTCCGCCAGGATCCTGGCTGATTCTTCTCTTTCCAATGTCTTTACACCTTGTACAAGCGGGATTTCGTCCTGTCGCACCATTGTTCGGCTAATTACTCTATACACACTATCCCACATAGTCTCTCTCTCCTGCTTGCTACAAAAGTCTTTCCAACTGGTGGTCTGAGCCCTCTTTATTTCCTGCTGATATTCTTCTTTCGCCCTTTTGTACTGCTCGACCACCCACTCACGTCGGACTGGCGCTGCGTATGAGATACGGCGTCTCAACCTGGAGACCTCCTTTTTCTGATGTGTTAGCTCCTCAGTCCACCAGGGCAGTCCTACTCGTTTTTTAATATTTAGCTTTGGTATACTGTATTCACAGGCTTCTGTCATTGAATTTGTGAAATCGTTAATTCTTTCCTCTAATTCTTCTGTATTTGTTAATCCATCAATTGTTGCTTTATCTAACCTTTTGTCATTCCAAATCTGGACAAGTTTCTCACGAAACTTGTTCCAATTTGCCTTCTTCGTGTTGTACATCCTAGTCGTTCTCTTTATATCCGTGCCTATTGATTTCTTCAAATTTATGTCGAATAAGATTGCCCTGTGGTCTGAGCTAGTTATTTCATCGGATAGTCTCCAGTTATGCATCCTTCCGAGCAGGCTAGTCGAGCAAGTAGTAATATCAACACAGCTCGAGAATCTTTTCCCACCTCTAATGATATCAAATGTAGGCTCAGTACCCCTGTTTAAAGTATGTAGTTCCAATTCATCAAGCTTTGCAGCAAGCTCCACCCCTCTAATGTCTGTTTCACGACTTCCACGCATTTACGTCACCACCGAGTATCACGTTCCTTGTCCCTATGCTTTCCACGGCCTCTCCAATCATGTTCAAGTATGGTTCGATTGGTTTATCCCCCTCCAGGTAGACGGACACCACTCCAATCTCCCACGCCCCTGTTCTGAGTTTTGCGACTGCAATATTCTCAGTTGTTAGACTGGGGCATGGGGTCATGTCAATGGTGTCGTCGAATAATACAATAGCAGCTTTTATAACCTTTTCAGTGTTCAGGCTTCTGCTGCTTTGTATTATTCTCGTCCCCGAGTAGTTTTTCATCTGAACAATCCGTCCAATGTAAGGCTCCTGTACCATGGCAAAGGATATCCTCCTTTTTGCCGCCTCTGTGATTAGTTCGGCCGTGGCCAGCTCGCATCTTTGGTTAGGTTAGGTTAGGTTAGGTTATGGACATGACGGCCAGCACTCTCGCCATTCTGCGTAAACCGCAGAGGGCGATGGCCGTCAGAGTCGTCCGCGGGTATCGCACGATTTCCTACGAGGCGGCTTGCGTCCTGGCCGGATCCCCGCCCTGGGACCTAGAGGCGAAAGTACTCGCGTCATTATATCGATGGCGCGAGGAAGAGCGGGCACGGGGCTCGAGGCCGGTGCAGCGGCAGATCGCGCTGCGCCGAGAGGAGCTCCGTCAGGTCTTGGTGGCGGAATGGCGGCAAAGGCTTCTGCGCCCTACCGCCGGCCTCGCTACCGTCGAGGCGATCCGGCCAGTACTCGACGACTGGCTCGGGAGAAGGCACGGCTCCCTGTCGTTTAGGGTGACGCAGGTGCTGTCGGGGCATGGCTGCTTCGGCAAGTACCTGCGCCGCATAGACAGGGAGCCGGACGCTCGGTGCCACCACTGCGTCCATTGCGGGGAGGACACGGCGCAACACACGCTCGCCGAGTGTGTAGCTTGGGAGGAGCAGCGCCGTGTCCTCACAAATAAAGTAGGAGGCGATCTGTCGCTGCCGGCCTTAGTGCGGAAGATGGTCGGTAGCGCAGAGTCGTGGGATGCGGTGGTGTCCTTCTGCGAGGACGTGATGTCGCAGAAGGAAACTGCGGAACGGGAAAGGGAGATCTCGACTCCCTTCCCTGGCCGCAGAAGGCGCACCGGGCGCAGGAGAAGGGCGGACAACGCCCTTTTCCGGCCCCCATAAATGGGTCCAGGGGCGAAGGACTTGGGGAAGCCCCCGCCACCCCTACTCGATGGACCCGAGGCGGAGGCGCGCGCGGGTGTCGGCGCGCGCCCCTGAGGCGATACACGGGGTAGTTTAACACCTCACTACCCCGTGCAGGAGACGAGGCCCGGACGGACCGGGCCAGCACTAGTGTGGGGCTGCGGAAGAATTTGGATTCCCGCGGCCCCACGCGCACGTGTGAGGAGACACCGGGGTGGTTTTAGCCGGTAAGAGTCCGGCACGCCCCTCCGCCTTTCCCCAGGCGGAGGTAGTCCATGAGGATTTCCCCCCGTAAAAAAAAAAAAAAAAAAAAGGTTAGGTTAGGTTAGGTTAGGTTCCCCCCCGAACGGGTTCCCGCCTTGTCGTGGCGGGGGGGCTTAGTAGCCGTGGCTTGGTCGCCCACGGTGAACAAGGAGGAACCCCTTGGCTGGCCCGTGGTGTAGGGCCGGCCCGAGGTGGCCACTCCGAGTGGGCTTGGGAAGCCCACTTCGGATGTGTGTCGGGGGGCTGCGGTGAGAGGGGAGTCCGCACCCTCTACCGCTGCAGCCGAGGTGGGGTCGCGGAGGAGGAGGAGTGTTGGTATGGCGATGCGCCACTCGCCCTATCCTCCGCGACTCAAACGGGGCCGCACCGTTGATGCGGTGGTGGTGGGGCCGCGGGGGGAGAGGAGTGTCGGTATTGCGAGGCGCCGCTCTCCCTATCCTCCGCGGCCGAAACTTGGTTGGCGGCGGAGCCCGAGACCAGATCCGCAGCTGGGGCCAGGAAGGCCGGTGCTTCTAAGTGCTAGTTTTTCCTGGCCCCATGGCCTTCGCGCATCGGACACGGGGGCGTCTGTTGCGCATTAGAAATTGGAGGCCGAGGAGGAGGGCGCACCATGTGTTCTGGTGCGCCTTACCTGAGAAGGAGATGGGGGAGGAGTGTTCCTCTCCCGAGGAGGGGCCGCCATGGGGCGGCCAGCGCAGGTGGGGCCGCGGAAGTGTGCGAAAGCGTTCCCGTGGCCCTGCCAATATGCGACGAGGTTGGAACACCATGGGGTTTTAGTCGGTGCGAGTCCGACATAACCCGTCCTTGCCCCCGCGAGGCGGGTATGCGTAGGCATTTCCCCATGAAAAAAAAAAAAAAAAAAAAAAAAAGGTTAGGTTAGGTTAGGTTAGGTTCCCCCGGCGACCCCCCCGAACGGGTTCCCGCCTTGTCGTGGCGGGGGGGCTTAGTAGCCGTGGCTTGGTCAACCACGGTGAACGAAGAGGAACCCCTTGGCTGGCCCGAGGTGTAGGGCCGGCCCGAGGTGGCCACTCCGAGTGTGCTTGGGAAGCCCACTTCGGATGTGTGTCGGGGGGCTGTGGTGAGAGGGGAGTCCGCAACCCTCTACCGCTGCAGCCAAGGTGGAGTCGCGGAGGAAGAGGAGTGTTGGTATGGCGATGCGCCACTCGCCCTATCCTCCGCGACTCAGACGGGGCCGCACCGTTGAATGATGCGGTGGTGGTGGGGCTGCGGGGGGAGAGGAGTGTCGGTATTGCGAGGCGCCGCTCTCCCTACCCTCCGCAGCCGAATCTTGGTTGGCGGCGGAGCCATAGACCAGATCCGCCGCTGGGGTCGGAAAGGCTGGTACTTCTTAGTGCTAGTTTTTCCTGGCCCCATGGCCTTCGCGCAGCGGACACGGGGGCGTCTTTTGCGCATATGAAATTGGAGGCCGAGGAGGAGGGCGCGCCATGTGTTCTGGTGCGCCTTACCGGAGAAGGAGATGGGGGAGGAGTGGTCCTCTCCCGAGGAGGGGCCGCCATGGGGTGGCCGGCGCAGGTGGGGCCGCGGAAGTGTGCGAAAGCGTTCCCGTGGCCCTGCCAATATGCGACGAGGGTGGAACACCATGGGGTTTTAGTCGGTGCGAGTCCGACATAACCCGTCCTTGCCCCCGCGAGGCGGGTATGCGTAGGCATTTCCCCATGTAAAAAAAAAAAAAAAAAAAGGTTCCCCCGGCGATGGCTTCGCCCTCAGCCACAGACTCTCCAGAAGAGGAGAGCACCGATGTCCCCGAGGTGACGCAAGCAGAGACGAGAGTGGCCGTGTCGCGACTCCGGGCTAAGAACACAGCGCCCGGACCCGACGGAGTTCCTGGTCGAGCTCTCGTCCTGGCTCTGAAGGAGCTAGAGCCCCAGCTGAGAGGGCTCTTCACGGCATGTCTCGAGCAGGGTCAGTTTCCCAGTGTGTGGAAGGAGGGGAGGCTGGTCCTGCTCAGGAAGGAGGGGCGCCCCGCGGACTCACCGTCCGCGTACCGGCCCATAGTGCTGCTCGACGAGGCGGGCAAACTTTTTGAGCGTATCATCGCAGATCGCCTCGTCAGCCACTTGTGCAGAGAGGGGCCGGACCTGGATGACAACCAGTTTGGTTTTCGTCGCGGGCGCTCCACCATAGACGCTATTACGCGCGTGAGGGCCCTGGCGGAGGAGACAGTATCCCGGGGTGGGGTGGTGCTGGCGGTGTCCTTAGACATCTCCAACGCTTTCAACACCCTACCCTGGAGTTGCATTCGGGAGGCGCTGAATTACCATCGCGTGCCTCCCTACCTCCGCCGCACAATAGGGGCTTACCTTGAGGAGAGATGCGTTACCTATTGGGGACGTGACGGCGCTGGTCGGCGCGTCATGTCGTGCGGTGTTCCGCAGGGATCGGTCTTGGGACCGCTCCTGTGGAACATCGGCTACGACTGGGTGCTGAGAGGTGAACTCCCGTCGGGCGCCGACTTGACGTGTTATGCGGACGACACGCTCGTCACTGCCCGGGGGAGTTCGTACAGGGAAGCAGCGTTGGTTGCCACGGCTGCGGTGTCACAAGTGGTGAACCGCATCCGGCGCCTGGGCCTGGAGGTGGCCCTAAGTAAGTCGGAGGCCATGGTGTTCCATGGACCTCGACGCGCGCCGCCGCCGGGTTCACACATCGTGGTCAGCGGGGCCCGGATAGCTGTCGAGTCCACCATGAAGTATCTGGGATTGGTGCTCGACAGCCGATGGGAATTCGGACCCCACTTCCGGCGGCTGGCGCCCAAGCTGATGGGTGCAGCGGGCGCGCTATCAACGTTGCTTCCCAACTTGGGGGGCCCGAGCGCCGCCTGTAGGCGGTTGTACGTAGGAATCGTGCGGTCCATGGCCCTGTATGGGGCCCCTGTGTGGGCGATGGACATGACGGCCAGCACTCTCGCCATTCTGCGTAAACCGCAGAGGGCGATGGCCGTCAGAGTCGTCCGCGGGTATCGCACGATTTCCTACGAGGCGGCTTGCGTCCTGGCCGGATCCCCGCCCTGGGACCTAGAGGCAAAAGTACTCGCGTTATTATATCGATGGCGCGAGGAAGAGCGGGCACGGGGCTCGAGGCCGGTGCAGCGGCAGATCGCGCTGCGCCGAGAGGAGCTCCGTCAGGCCTTGGTGGCGGAATGGCGGCAAAGGCTTCTGCGCCCTACCGCCGGCCTCGCTACCGTCGAGGCGATCCGGCCAGTACTCGACGACTGGCTCGGGAGAAGGCACGGCTCCCTGTCGTTTAGGGTGACGCAAGTGCTGTCGGGGCATGGCTGCTTCGGCAAGTACCTGCGCTGCATAGACAGGGAGCCGGACGCTCGGTGCCACCACTGCGTCCATTGCGGGGAGGACACGGCGCAACACACGCTCGCCGAGTGTGTAGCTTGGGAGGAGCAGCGCCGTGTCCTCACAAATAAAGTAGGAGGCGATCTGTCGCTGCCGGCCTTAGTGCGGAAGATGGTCGGTAGCGCAGAGTCGTGGGATGCGGTGGTGTCCTTCTGCGAGGACGTGATGTCGCAGAAGGAAACTGCG